CAAGTTCGAGGTCCGAAATCCGAGGCTGTCAGGCTTGCCACGACGTGGCACAAGCTTGCCGCGACCCGGAAAGTGACTGAGGGCGTCCAATCAATGGAAGAGGATAGACTTGCTCCCCACGACGTGGCCAACCCTATCCACGACGTGGCACTCAAATATACCCCCTATAAATAGAACTCTTGGGGTGCCGGGTTTAGGTGCTCTATTCTTGTCTTTCTCGTGCCGAAACTCTGCGTTTAAGCCCCCGAGACCCTCCCAAAGCCCCGGTTTTCACCTTCAAGTCCCGAAGGAAGGTTTTGTGTTCCCGAGATTCCTGAGATTCCCGAGAATCCTGAGATTTCCCGCATTTTCAACTTTTCCTGTCGAAGTTCTGCTCGATTCCTCTCTCGACTACTTCAAATCAACCACTTCAATCAAGTGAGTTCATACCCCTTAACTAATGTTTTAAACTACTTTTAAATGTTTAATGGGGGGGGGGATACAAGTAGAATCATGCTAGTATTATATCAATCACATGCGATTAATAAGTAGAATTACGCTAGTTATTACATCAATCACATGTGATTAATATACAACATTCAAAAGATTTGGCTACTCATTAGCCGTTTTACCAAAAGTTTCCTTCAAATGACTTTTTATAAACATTTTATATGTTTTAAACTCCTTTTTACACTGTACAGCTTACTCCGTACATTACCTTTCAAACTTATTTACAACTGTGTTTCAATCAAATGTTTCCTTATACTCAAAACTGTTTTATCATACTTATGCCTTCAAATTGTGTTATAGATCGACATCAAGTCGATCTTTTCTTAAAATAATATTTATGTTTCAAATGTCTTACAAAATTTATTTATGCTTTTATATTATAAATTGCATGCCTCTATATGTATAGTTATATAAGAAATGTTTAAAAGACTTAGGAAGGCTATCCACCCTATTTCCTTTTCGCGCCATGAGATGTGGTCTGGTGGGATATTGGGTATTCGTCCGAAAGTCGTTTAAATATTAGTTATATATCATGTGTACATATATAGTCATAAAAGGTCTTTCCAGTTCATCCCATGCCCTTAGTTAGTAAGGGTATACATCCATGACCATACGTACCAGTTAGACTGCTAGTAAACTACCATATGGGTAGTTTAGGAAGGTACTAGAACCGTTACTAGAACGCGATATCATACAATGAGTCAATTCATTCATGTGTCAATACTTTCTAGAACATTACATATGCAACTATACTAGGACGAGAACATATACAACTATACTAGAACGAGAAACGTTACCCTTACATTAATACGTTAACAATTGTGATCCACTGTATCGGAGCATGCCTTAAATATCATGGCCCGAGTTGTAGCCAGAATTCTCTTAGAGGGAGAGCGTTGAGTTTGCGTATAGATCTATACTGGATTGACAATCCCACACCTTGCTGCTAGCTACAGCCGGACCTGCAGGTCTGCGGGTGCCAAACGTCACTCCGTTATTATGACCGTTCTTTATGTCGTTGTTATCAGTCAATAGTATGGTGCAATTATCACATTATACCTTAATATAAATCCGGTTTAAGGTAGTTAGTATAGCAGTAGTTCCTATAATACAAAACTACAGTACTACAATGATTTACCCATTACATTTTTAGTGATACCCTCACTTAAACTTTAATGTACAAACTATATTTTGATAATAATAGTTACGCTTGGGAAAATTACACACTTTTGCAAGAAACGAACATTTAGAACAGTTAGGTCTTGGTAGAAGACGCACTTTATATAATAGTAGGAATCATAGGGATTTCTAAGGTTTTTCAAACATTTACAGTTGTTTTACAAACATTTTCATACTTACAGTTCACTTACAAATTCTTACATACAAATTAAGACACTAAATACTTATGATCTCAGCAGCTTCAAAGCTGATACTCGCTTTCAAAATTACTTGTATCCTCAAGTCATCATAGACAGGTACCAAATGCAAGGAGAAAGGAAGATGGAGCTTGTTCAAGACTTATTATCTTTCATTTTGATTTATGCTTTAGTGTTTATCAAAATTTGACAGAATACAATTGTATAATAATTATTTTATTAATGCAATGGATGATGTTGTTGCTTGTTTACTACTTTACATTGTTGTTGATATTATACATGACGTCCTCCGCCCCATAACGTTTCCGCCGTTCTCGGTTTTGGGGTGTGACATACACCCTTATATGCAACCCGAATCACTCCTAACACTTGAATTGAAGTTTTTTCGCGCCTCGGAGTGTCTATTCTCAGTTAATTAGTAGTTAAAAGCCTAATTAGATACAACTATGTATTTCCTCATATTACATAGGAACCTCGCACGTACTCAAGCCCTGAACGGACATTTAGCATCCCAGCTGACTCATTTCTTGACCGGTGAGTTCATACCCCTACACCTTTTTCAATGTTTTCAATGTTTTCAGAATATTTTGTGCTCAAACTTATTATTTCATTTGAAATGTTTCATATTTCGTATGTTTTTAACAATCAAAACCGTATTAACCAACCGTTTTACTTGCAGAGTTAGTTTTCCAAAATGATTGCAAATCATATTATATAATGTTATATTGTATATTTCACAAATGATTTTCCATTTTCATTGTTGTTAAAATCACTAAGATTAGAACCTTAGACTTCCTCTGTAACACTCCACAGAGATACGCGAGTGGAGGACCATCTTTAAATTAGTATTTAAAATAGAGTTTTCTGCATTATTACTTGTAAATTCGTTAATCTTAGGGTTGGAGACACGTCCTCTGTAACACTCCATAGAGATACGCGAGTGGACGACAGTCCTTGTAACCAGAATCTCTTAGTAGGAGAGCATGACTTGAGTGTAGAGATCTATACGGGGCTGACTACCCCGCACCTTGCTGCTAGCTATAGTGGGACCGACAGGTCTACAGGTGATAAAAGTCATAAATGATACTGGCTTTCCTTTGTCGTATCTATTTTATTGTATGGTTATAGAACTTGCAAACTTAGACAATGAAGATTTACTTTTAAGTAATAAAGAACTTAGTAAATTAATAACCCTAGAAATTAGTTTACTATTTTGATAGTTTTATATACGTGTTAAAACTAACATACCTTTCAAGGATAACCAAGCTTTCAGAAAACATCACACAAACACTACAATTATGGTAGATTCATGTACATTTCATTCAGATTCGATACCAACCACAAACTTTTAAGGAAAATAATGGTTTTTCCTGGGATAACAGAACTCGTTTTTAACTAGATCGTATAGTAGCCAGATAACAAACAGTTCTTAACCAAACTGTGTAACAAATGGATAAACATACTTTACATATAAGAAAATATGGGATTTTTTTGGATAATAAATTTTTCAAAAAACTAAATGAAACTTGTTCATTTTTAGAAAGAAATCACTTATGAACTCACCAACTTTATGTTGATATTTTTAAAACTGCTTGTATTCTCAGGTTCTCCTTAGACAAGTATCCCGCGTTTTTTTTTTTTGTAGAAGATGGAGCATATGGAAGTCACGTCTTTAATTTTGTTCAAGCTAATGTATCTATAAAACATGTATTACTTTGCTTTTCTACTTTCAAAAAAATGTAATGATTCTATGTAATGTAATGTTTTGTGCCTACTATCCTTACTATGTACATTGGTTGTGATACTTTACATGACGTCCGCCGCCCCAGACCGTTTCCGCCATCGGTTTCGGGGTGCGACAATTTTTCAACAATTTCATTTGCTTGAAGTTTTTCAACAGATCAGACAACGTAGTTAAACACACACATACATACAAAATATCATACAAACATAATAGATCAAAAAAACACATATAAGGCACCACATACAAAAACAAAGATATTGGCAAAACCAATAATAACGGGAAAAAGAGCAAACACATAGTTTATATCACAACTGAGAAAGGGAGATAACAAAATAGTGTTTATAATACAATAAAACTAAAACCTTTCAGTATCCTGATCCAAATTTTTTGTCAGAAAGATCTGAACCCTCTTTCTCATAACAAATCCGAAAACTATCCATGTTTCCTACTCAAACATTGTTTGTCTCTCACTTTCCTTCGTTTTGCTTAGATCTTAATGAGGTGAATGTAACTACATCCTCAGCTCTACACAGATCTGACTGAGATCTAAAAAGGTGTCTCCTTATTTTTATCAAAAATTCAAATTTACAAGACTTAACTAAAAAAACTCATATAAACACATATCTACAAACTCATCTCTTTGTGCCTTTTTGTTTTTACTTTGTGACAATAATAGGATCTGGAACAATGGGACTGTGGCAATTAAAGAGGCGAGGTTATATCAAATGTGTTGGTTTCATCGTGTGTTTTAGGACAAAAATTGGGCTTATAGAGAAGGAGGAGAGAATATCAGGTAGTACAAGGTTGGTGAAGCGAGGTGGTGAGTCTTCACAGTGGAAGTGACTCGTCGAAATAAAGTTGATGGAGGTGGCCAACATTGGAGACGATGATTATGGTAGCCAAAGGTATGTTTGAGTGTACGGTGGTAGAAGAGAAGGAAGTGTTGGCATAAGCCCTTGATAACACACACACTCACACACTAGTCACGTATATATGTAGTGTGAAATCAACAACTAAAATATAGAGGACTACAAAAGCACACACTTATTCATATCAATATATGTTATATATACAACTTCCTAATACCCACGTGAATTCATAGATTCACATGAAACAAAACATGCCACTTTCTTCCTAAAGACTCGTACAATTCCTTGGAATCAAGTCAAATCAAATACCAGTTCAACTAATATCTATAACATAAAACATAAAACAATAATAATTATTAAACCTAAAATTTCAGCCATGCACGTGAGTTATGACTAACGAACCGATTATCCCAACAATCACCCCCTTAATCGGTTTGTTCATACCGTTCACTCACAGCAACGTTGAATCTCCGTCTTTTGGAACTATCTTGACTTCTCCCGGAAATCCGACCTCCACCTCGGTCACATCCCAAGTCCTCCATACACAATCCCGACTTTTCCCAGACACCCAACCTTCACCTCGGTCACATCCAAAGTCTTCACCCAATCACGACTTTTCTCGGACACCCGACCTTCACCTCGGTCACGTACAAAGCCTTCTCTCAACTCACAACACATGTGACATGTAACATGACATTCTGTTGGACACTTCATTAACATCCTGACCTTTTCTGGATCCACGACCTCTTCTCCAGCCACATCCGAAGCCACCCGATTTGAACTCCCACTGCCATAATGTTCACCGTGTTGATTCTCCATTCCTTCTTGTCTTCCTTGTGACCGCCTGGACCTCTGATCCAACCTGTTCCGAGAGTCCTCTTCCACCAATCAAGAAAGCACTCTTATCTTTTTCGTTTTCTCTTTCATGAAAACAAGCCAAACCAAAACAACTCCATGTTTTCAGTTTTTCCTGCTTGTCTTTCTGCTTCTGATTACGCTCCTCTTAAAACACCAAACAAACCGAAAAAGGATGGAGACTACACCTCTCGACGACTATCAAAATCAACTTACACCCCTTCACAGCCTCTGTACCCACCAATTTCTTCACCAGGAAAGCCCACCGACAACAGCTTCTATAAGCAATACCATCTCTACAATCTTCTAAGAGTTCTGAAAACAAATTCATAAACTCATGTGATCGACCCGCTACTGACGAGCCATTACCCTCCTCACCGGAACATACGGTATGCATCTACCCAGCAGCAAAGTGCTACTACTTTTGGTGAAACCGACTCTCAAACCGGCCTTGTACCTCTTAACCACCCCTAAGCTCTAATACCAACTGTTGGCACAGTGTAACATCCCGATTTTCGTGTACGATTTAATTGTAATTATTTATTCAAGAAAAAGGACGGACTCAACGAGTTAGTTCCGCGACTCGTCGATTAGGTGAGGAAGTTTCCGTTAATCTTCGCGACCAGACTCGACAAGTCGGGCATATGACTCGCCGAGTATGTGCTAGCAAGTGATACCCTAAATCATAGGTTTTGGAGCCTATTTAAGGGCACTCATAGCCTCCCATTGTGGCTACCAGTCCCTTGAGATAAACCCTAAGTGAGCTAAATGGTTTGTGAGGAAGGAGAGGCCATATTTGATCTTTCTATCATTGGTTTAGCAAGAAGAAGGTGATCAAGATCAAGAGAAGGCTGAAGGAGGTGCTATGTGGAGGAATTCTATGCTCAGGAGTGCTTATTTGAGGTATAATCTCGACCCATCTTCTGTTTTGGTGATTGTTGATAGAGATAGGGTTTTCTAGATCCTTTGGTAGATGGTTTTGATTGAGTATATGGTTCCTTTTCGTATTATGGTCTTGGATCTAGATCTATAGAGGTCTAGAGACCTTACTCCTTTGAGCTTTATGAGGATTGTTGGTGAATATGAAATGAGGATGCCATATTAGAGGTCATTCCTTCAAATAGAGCCTTGGAGCCTTTGCATGAGCATCAAGCTTCGAACTTTACATGATTATTGGGACTAGAAAGGATAGATCTATTGAGTAGAGCATCACATTTGACCTCAGGAAGCTATTGGAAGTAAGCATGGATTGGACTCGCTAAGTCCATGAACATAGTCGATGAGTCAAGTCGAGTTATCCCGAGACTGTGAGTCTAGAGAGTGACTCTCCGAGTTAAGTGAGTGAATCGGTGAATCAAAAGAGAATCAGAGGAGTAGAGTTCACGTGTAGACTCGCCGAGTCTCCCAAGTGCAGACGATGAGTCAGGTTGAAGTTTGACCATTGACTTTGTTGACTTTTAGGGATTGGTTAACAATGGGGTCTTTGAGTCAAGAAAGGGGTAAAATGGTCTGTTACCCATATAAGGGTACTAAGAGAGGGTTGGGTCTAGTATCGAGAGTTATATTTATGAGCCTATTTTACTTTATGTGATTAGGCGGAGGCTAGACTATACTGCTACCGAGTCAGGGATTTACCGAGACATCTGAGGTGAGTCTTCTCACTATACTTTACCTTGAGTGGTAATTAGAGTTATTGTATGCTATTTATGTGATGTGTTGCACTACATTATTCTTATGTGATTTATGCCATGTGTATATCAGAGTACATCAGGGATAGAGCCGAAAGGTTCACAGAGCTAGGACCAGAGGGTCTATAGATTTAGGGCCCAAGGGCCCACAGAATTATAGCCTCGAGTAGCTAGTATGTGTTATGTGTGGTATTTTGGGGAACTCACTTAGCTTTATGCTTACAGTGTTATGTGTTATGTGTTTCAGGTAGCAGTGATGATCGCGGGAAGGCGCTGACATGATCTATACACACACCCACATAGTTATTTATGATTTGATGTTGGGAAATGTTTTGTGAACAATCATATGATACAATGAGATTTTATTAATGAATGTGTTTGGAAATGTGTTTAAAAATGCAAAAAATTTTCTTAATTTTTACGGTATTACAAGTTGGTATCAGAGCCTTGGTTTAAGGGATTCGGATGCATCTTCGGGCGTATCTGAACTAAAACTGAGGATTTGAAAAAAAAATTGATAACCAAACAATTTTAAAAAGAGTTTTGAGAAAAACAGAGCAGAGCCGTGTGTACGATCAACCAGCGCCCGAACGGTGATTTCCTAAAATCCCCTTGTAATAAGTGTTACGAGATATATATTATGTTATGTTATATGATGAGCTATATTATGCATGCTAGAGTAGACTAGGTATCCTTATTAGCTTCAGGGAAATGCCTGGAAGAGGGAGATAGAGATGGAGACCCAGGCTAGGGAGGAGGCTAAGTCTTAGGGGAGGGATCAGCGACCCATAGAGTCTCAGCCGGCAGCCAAGCGGGCCAAGCCCGCTGATTCGAGATCTGGGAGTCAGAAGGGTTGCACTTGTGGCAAGTGCGGCAAGAGCCACGATGGGGTGTGCATAGCACGGTGTTGATACAAATGTGGCAAGGAGGGGCATATGGCCAAGGATTACCCCAAGGGATTAGCAGTATGTATTCACTGCAAGCAGACCAGACACCGGAAGGCATAGTGTCACCAGTTGAGAGGGACAACTCAGGGAGCTTCTCAGGGATCTGCCCCTACTGCAGTGAGAGCTACGAACATTCGTCCGGTAAAGGCCAAGGAACCGAAGGCACGAGGGAGAGCCCTGTAGTTGACTACGGAAGAGGTCCGTGCAGCGCCCGATGTCGTGGCGGGTACGTATACTTTCATGTATTTACTTTTATGTTGAGATATTATCCTTATATTATGATATGCGTAGGTACTTTTCTTGTGAGTTATGTACCTTCCTTAGTGTTATTTGACTCGGGGGTGATTTGGTCTGTTGTATCTTTGGCCTTTAGTCAGCACATCGGTATTAGTCGAGAGGCGTTGAGTTGATCCCTGAGAGCTTCCATAGCTGACGAGAGGGCGGTGTATGCCACCGAGGTGATCTGAGGGTGTGTACTAAAGATTTTTGGCGTTGAGTTTCCAATTGATTTAGTTCCTATTGCGATGGGAGATGTTTCTGTCATCGTGGGCATGGACTGGTTGAGCAAATTTGGAGCGGTTATCGAATGCGAGAGACAGGTGGTGACCATAAGAGACCCTAGTGGGGGAGTTCTTACGGTGTACGGTGAGGGTATGCGTTCTGGGTCGGCATTTTGTTCAACCGCTAGAGCGAGACAGAGTCTACAGTAGGGTTGTAAGGGATTTGTAGCGTGTGTGATGGATATGAGGGTTGATTAAGAGAGACAAAGGTCAGTTGATGACGTTCCGATAGTGCGTGAGTTCCCGGATGTATTTCCGGAGGAGTTCCCAGGTGTGCCTCCCGAGAGGCAGGTTGAGTTCAATATCAATTTGGTTATGGGGGCTGCGCCTATCGCCAAGGCACCCTATCGCCTTGCACCTCCAGCGATGCAACAATTATCCTCATAGCTTTAGGAATTGCTTGGGAAGGGGTTTATTCCGCCGAGCAGTTCCCTTTGGGGAGCACCTATCCTTTTTATTAAGAAAAAGGATGGCTCACACCGGATGTGCATTGATTACAGGGAATTGAACAAGCTGACGGTCAAGAACCGTTACCCGTTGCCGAGGATCGACTATGTGTTCGATCAATTACATGGAGCATCTTGGTTCTCCAAGATCGATTTGAGGTCTGGATATCATCAGGTGAGGGTGAGAGATGAGGACATCCAGAAGACAGTGTTCAGGACTCGTTACGGGCATTACGAGTTCGTGGTGATACCTTTCGGGCTCACCAATACACCGCCGGTGTTCATGGATCTCATGAACAGAGTGTGCAAGAGGATGTTATATGGCTCAGTGATCATGTTCATTGATGACATATTGGTGTATTCAAGATCAGAGAGTGGCATGAGGAACATTTGAGAGAGATCCTCGGAGTTTTGATATCGGAGACGCTTTATGCCAAATTCTCCAAGTGTGATTTCTGGTTACGGAAGGTCCAGTTCCTAGGGCACCTCGTTAACTAGAAAGGGATATTGGTCGATCCGGACAAGATTGAGGCAGCAATGAGTTGGGAGGTGTTGAGGTCACTTACCTAGATCAGGAGTTTCCTAGGGTTGGCTGGTTACTATCAGAGATTTATCAGAGATTTCTCCAAGATCGCCGTACCACTCACCAAGTTGACTCGGAAGGGTGTTGCTTTTTTATGGGGCCCAGAGCAGCAGGCCTCCTTCGAGACACTTCGCCAGAGACTATGCGAAGCCCCGGTGTTATCCCTTATGGAGGGGATGGAGGACTTCGTGGTGTATTGTGACGCGTCAATGTCAGGGTTAGGAGTGGTGCTTATGCAGAGGGGGAATCTGATAGCATATGCATCGAGGCAGCTGAAGCATCCTGAGATGAGGTATCCCACCCACGATCTGGAGTTGGGGGCAGTGGTTTTCTCCCTCAAGATCTGGCATCACTATTTGTTTGGGGTTCGGTGTACCATATTGTCACACCCCAAAACCGAGAATGGCGGAAACGTTCTGGGGCAGAGGACGTCATGTAACGTATCACAACAATGTAAAGTAGTAAACAAGCAACAACATCATCCATTGCATTAATAGTATAATTTTAATTACAAGTGTTTTCTTTCATAATATAAAATAATAAAATGAATAATCAGAAAATAAGACGAGTCTGGACTGCTCCGTCTTCACAAAACCTGTTCGTCGTACTTTTCTATTTATGACATGAGAATAGAAGTTATTTTGAAAGCGACTACCAAGACCTAGCTGTTTTGAAAGTAGTCTTCTACAAAGACCTGACTATTTTGAAAGTAGCCTTCCACGAAGACCCGGCTGTTCGACAATTATTATTAATATAAGAAATTGTATCCTTTGGTACTAGGATACTCAAATACAATTCACCTCATCGGTTATGTGAACGAGTCACAAGATAATGGTAATAATATAACTAACTTACGTATTATTCCTTTATACTAGCATAACTAACAATGTTAACTTTAGACATCCGTAGATGTACATTTACCTATGTTGCTAACAGCTAGGTGTAGGAATAGTTAGTCCCTTAACGTATACCTGTAATCGTATCAACTGTAGACATCTGTATATGTGCATTTACCTCTGTTGCTAACAAATGGGTGTAGGAATAGTTAGTCCCATAAAGTATACCTATAATGGTATCAACCTTAGACATCCGTAGATGTGCATTTACCTCTGTTGCTAACAACTGGGTGTAGGAATAGTTAGTCCCTTAAAGTATACCTATAACGGTATCTAG